ATTGTGGTGACTTCAGAACGAAGAGCCACAACACTAACCATCAAGTTTTGACGACTTCCCTCTCTTCTAATTTTGAACGCTGAAGCTATTGAAGTGATTAATTAAATTACTATTTCTTCGTATGCATACGATTGTTCGTTAAAACTTCAGGGGCCGATTAACGCGTTAGCGTTAGAATTTTTTCCTCTCCTCTTTTCTCTCCTTCCTCCTCTTTCCCCTTCTCTCCTCTTTTTCCTTCTCCCCTTTCTCTCCCTCTTTCTCCCCTTTCTCTCCCTCTCATGTACCTACCTTGTATAGATTTGTACCTGTGCGCGTGCATCGCTTGGACCATAGTTTGGGCGCCACTGGTCTATTTCACGGTATTTTGTGACATATTACGGAGTATTATAAAGGTATTATGGGACCCCTGTACGGAGTATTATGCGAGTTGGCGACCCCTCGTCCAAAATTTGGTGGCTAGCACCTCGGTCGAATTTTAGTATGGCCATTTTGATCTCATACAAATTTGAGCACTTTTTCCTGCTATCTCGTAAACGGCCGTAGCTACGTTGAAACAGACAGCGGATTCGGCTCCGCCTCAGTTCTGATCCCCCGAAACCATGCTTCGTAATTATTTGTAAGACTGACTTTGACGTAGGCAACAGACTCTGCTCTTTGCTTTACCATGGTAAAGTTGTCAATGGGCTTAGTATTGTTGCATGGAGACCTACACCATGGAGTTTTAATACATGCCCATGGAAAAACACTCATGGAAAAGCGGCAAAAAATACATGGAAAGTTCTCCTTTGTTCCATGACGTTCCATGACAACCCATGGGTCATGGAAAGCACCATGGGATTTTAGGACTGGGCAAGCCCCATCCGAACCGTTCCCTGTCTCGCGGTTATGCTCGTCTTCGTTTCCTGACCGTAAAGCTACTGATTCTCAGTTCTTGTACCGGGCTTCGAATTTTTGAAAGCAACGTCCTTCCTTGCGTCAAGAAAAATTACTTGTATGATGATTAGGGGTTGAAGTTAGCACATTTGTCTTGCAAATTTGACGTAAATCCCTAAATCAAGAACATTTCTTTTTTTTTGTGGCGGCTGTAGGTGCTCTCACTTAGACCGACCGCCCCGCTGCTGCTGCTCACGATACACCTTTCTCGCGGTCCACTTTCTTTATTTCCTCCAAGAGGAGATTAAGGCTCAGAAGTTGAGCCTATACCGCCGGTGTAACGTAGAGCACCGGCGTCAACTTCTCGTCGGCGGCAGCGGCGGCGGCGGCAAGATTGTGTCCGAAAGAAAGGAGACCTTTTCATGAGGCTTGCAAAGTGGCCACCATCCATCTTACGCCATGAGCGCAATTTCCGCCCATGGAAGAGATGGGCTCGGGCGGGCGCCGCACCGCAGCCTGCCGCCCCCTGCCCCCTTCCCCCTTCGGGCCAGCTTGAGGCAGGGCGCACACAGGGCCTGCGTAGTGGCCGAGGTGCGTGCTTATGGCGCTGACAATTAATGAGAAAGTCGATGAGAAACTGTGAGCAACGAACCCGCGACTATGTATTACTGTATAGAGTATTGCGGGGTAATAATTGTGAGTATGCGAAAGGGGGAAGCCTTCATATTTGCGAAACAGAAAGGTCACGCGGTTGTTACTGTGAGGGTCTCGGTGGGAGGCTAAACGCCCCGTGAGGTTAGGCAACACCTTGTTGAGTCGGGCCGGCGGAGCCGAGAGTGTTGCCTGCCCTCGCGTCGGAGGGCGCACCGGTGTGGAAAAGGGGGGG